GGGCTCGATCTAGAAGATGGAAAAGCTGAGGTGTGCAATTCTCTGATGTTTTTAAGTGAAAAAGATCGATTGACGGGCAAAGCAAGCAGTGCGCAATGCTGAGTTTGTGCTATTCTTGATGTTTTCAGTGAAATAGATCGGCGTACATGGGCAAAGCATGCAGTGCGCAATGACTAGGTGTGCGGATATCGGTTGGCACTCTTGATGTTTTTTAAGTGAACCGGGTTATGTGTATATGGGCAAAGCCAATGCAGTGCACAAGCCGAGGTTGTGAATTCTCGGTTTTTTAAGTGAAAATAGAGCGTTGGTAATGGACAAAGCAATGCAGTGGTCAATGCCGAGTTGTGCATCTGGGATGTGTGAAGGAAAAGCATCGCTGTGACATGGAAGCCAATGTGGGGCGCATGCCAGTTTGCAATTCCGGATGTTTTAAAGTGAAAATAGACGAAAGCACAAAGCCAATGTGGTGCGCAATGCCGAGGTTGTGAAACTTGGGATGTTTTAAGTGAAAGAGATTCAAGCGACATGGGCAAAGCCAATCAGAGTTTGTGCATTCTCTGATTTTTGTTAAATAGTCGATGTGTAAGGGAAAATCCAATGTAGCACGCAATGCGAGTTTGTGAACTTTTACTGTTTCTAAGCAAAATAGATCGACTGCCCATGGACAAAGCCAAGGCAATGCGCAACTGCGTTTGTGCAATTTATGATTTTTTTTTTTTTGTGAAAATAGAGGATGTGACATCGTCACCCAGTTTTTGCAATTTTGAGTGGTGAGCACATACAATCGTTGTGCAATGACAAACGGGTGATGTTTATCGAGCTGTAATTGAACGGATTTATATGCAATGTAAATGTGCAGTTGGGTATTTTAAATTGATTGTGTTTTAATGCAAGTTATACTTAGAATCTTTTTATTGTATTTTAATTGTTTGGTTTGATATGGTGTAATGCTTTCCGGAAAAATATCGATAATCGATGATTACCATGTAGCAAATTGACCCGATAACTAACTTTACTTTTTTTAATACGTAGTATTGTATACAATTGCACTTGATAATATGAGTTCATGATAATAAGGTGTGTGGGAGCTTGCTTAGTGTTTCAAATTTGTACTTTATTTTCTTCATGTGAGAAATTAGATTTTTTTATTTGTAGAATGTATAGAATTCGGAGTAAGACTATAGATAGACGTGATTAAGAATTCAAGAACAGTGATATGAAGCTGTGTATGATGTTGATCGAATAAAATATTTACTTTTTATAGTACACTCTAAATATGCCCTAATTCAACAAATGTGGGATAGTGTTTGCGCTGATTTGGAATGATGGTGTTCTCTGGCAACCCTGTTGATGTGAAAATCTTTCGCTGGAGCCGTGAGTGCCAGTGTCGAGAAGATGGGAGGAAAGATAAATAGGCTGTTGAATTGAAGTTCGGCACAAGGAAATATCATGTGGCTATCCTGTTGAGGGGGGTAGTGGGTTTGGAAGTGTGAAAGAGGGTCTGAGAGATATTTTTTAGCAGCGCACGATAGAAGTAGGGATTTGTGATTTATTATTGTGAACATAGTATAAATTTTATGGATAGTGTGTCTGGCGTCATGTAAAACGATAGTGATACGTTAGCAGCATGTAAGGCGGTTGAAATTTATTCTGCTATTCGAAAACGCTTAATTATGGTAAGGCATTTATTTATCTTGTTTATTTTGTCGATGTATGTCTGATTCTTTGTAGAATTTCGTCAATTGTAGTTTGTTTAAAGTGTTGGAATTATTATTGTTTTTGTGTTAGTGTCTGAGGTGCAATTCGCGATGTTTTTAAGTTTGAAAAGAAAGCTGGTAAATGGATTTTTAAAATTTATTGTTGTGTATGTTATTTATAAAGGAGGGTGCGAGATTCCTTCTGCCTAAATGTGCAATTCGTAGAATTTTTATGTTTAAACAGGTGCTGTGAATGGTATTCTTTGAAATTATTGTGTTATGTTAATTGATAAAGCGATGTGTGTGCGTAGTTCGTAGATCATCGTGCAATGTGCAATTCGTAGAGTTGTTTAAGTTAAAACTATTGCTGTGTAAAGAGACTTGCCAATTTTGGTTAGAAACTTAAATTTTGCTAAAATTTTTGTTTTGTTTCGGATTTTTAGCTAAATGTGTGTTCAAAACTGGTTTGGCTGTGCAATCAACTATGTTGAGATATTAGGCTAAAGTTGAAATGTAGACCAAAATTATTATGTAATAGCAGCGTGGAGTTTCTTGCAAAAACAGCGCATATAAGAATAGTCACCTTACTCTTTATAGTGTGATTTATGTAAAAATGTTTTATCTAATAGAAAATTTATGCAATTTTTTAAAGACAACATAAGTTCTTTGGCCATTCTTTTGTATTTCTTATTGCAAGAATCTTCTATCTCTATGTCAAGAAATGTCATGAGTAGGGCCGAAAGCTTTGACTATCAAGTCCTTTTAGATAGATTTGGGGGGGGATGATTACTTACCTAGAAATGTCAAGTAAAACTGTTTTTTAATTGTTTGTAATTTAGTATTTTATTTGTGATTGTATGCAATGGCAGATGCCATTCGAGATGTTTTTTTACGTTTAAAAAAGGAGCCGTGTACATGTATCTTTGACATTATGTTGTTAATTAATTGCTTAAGCGACGGTGGCATTTGTAGATTGTCGTTGCCTAATTGTGCCATTGTAAGTTTTTTAAGTTAAAATATGTCGTGTGACAGGATTTGTCAAATATTTTGGTTAGACACTAGTTTTGCTATCTAATTTTTTGTTTTGTTTCGGATTTTTAGCGAAATTTATGTTGAAAAGTAGTTTTTGCATGGCGAAAACCGCGTTTTGGAGAAGTTAGGCTAAAAGTTCGAATGTAGACAAAAATTTAGATAGTAAATGGCAGCGTGAGTTCTGCCAAAAATATTTGGTGCGAAATTTGGAGATTCAGGGCATATCAGAGTAGTGCCTTTATTAATGTAAGTTTAAAATTTTAGAAAATAATGAAGATGTCTATTACTATACCTAAGGATGTGTGTTAGTAGCAACAGTATTTGTAAAAATATAAATTAAAATGTTCGATATATGAACTTAAATTGTTGGCAACTATCAGTAAAAAGGGGAAAAAAAGAGAGGGAAATAGTTTTGATTGAGCGTATTGCAACAGAGAGAAACAGACAAAAACGTAGAACTAGCCTTTTTTTTTTTTAGAACTTGAACTCGCTTTTGGTAGAGTTTTGAATCTGCTGTAGCGGATATGTCTTTCAATGATATCTTTTAAACTAAAGTAAATATATTATGTCAATATAACCCCTCCCCCAAAAAAATCAAAAATTTGTGTATGATTATTTACGTTGTATCACAAAAAGAAGTTAGTATTTTGCTAGTAGCTATCCGGAAGAACCCGCATCAAATATCATCAAGGGGTAGCGTGAAAATTTATTAAGCCATTATATTAAAGATTAACGTGGAGTATATTCTATTTATTTACAGACACGCATAATTGCAACATCTGATTAACTGCCGCAATAAATTAAAATAGAATTTTTCTTGTATACATTTAAAACTTTGAAAATACTGAAGCTGTATGAAATACCAATATGAGAGACAGCGAGTGTTACGTTAGGAACAGCTTTTATTTGTCCTTTTGGCGATTTTTTTATGGTGGAAACTTCGGCCCCAGGTAGACCCGTTTTGAAGATCGGAAAAAAATGGCGGATGGCAACAAAACCGATCTAGATAAAAACAATCCTAAAAAAAAGTTTAATCAGAATAATCAACGTCTTTCTCTATTTCATATTCAGTATGCTAGATAAATCTGAACACTACTGTATGATCTATGACAATATTATGTTATGAGTATGTGTTCATAGTTATATTTTAGATATTCGTATAGTAATATTTTTAAATTACAAAGGTTAATTTTTATGGGTATGAAAATGAAATTTACAAAAAGTTAAAAATGCATTTCAAACTAGATATGTTACTTTAGTTCTTAGATTTGTTATAAAAGAAAAAAAAAATAAGCAATAATGAAACCTGATTTTGGTATGATTTGAACTATGAATTCAGGCAATACACATCCCTATAGTTCTTTATATGAGGTAAATAGTATTTTAACCATGATAATTTTATCTCCTTAGCAAAGAAAACCAAGGTACTCAGCTTATGAAAAGGTTTTTTTTTCCTTGGGGGGGTGGAGGGTTATAGAATATGCAGATTGAAATGAAAAAAATATCAAGACTATGTTATTGTAATATTAAAAAACAGTTTAACTATAAAATTTGGCTTTTAACAAAATATTTAAATTGTGCTTCCAAACAAAAGTACTTTAAGAACAACACACAATTTATCCCTCCTGCCTCAACCGAACCTATCAAATTCTTGAAATTACGTGGACAGAAATGGCGGCTGTTTGAGTCAGTATGTAGGTTCCAAGGTTATCTAATTTTCTTTATCGGCTCCAAAATGTCGCAAACAAAATTATCGTCAAAAGACATACTAAAGCGTGCCAGCGTGGAATAATAACGGTACAATTCATATGCATTCTTATATTAAAATATAACGAATTATATTCTTATTTAGTATATTCTATTCTAGAGAATAATTGTGAGTCGCACCCATTAGGACGTCACTTAGCTCCGCCTTAGCAACTTTGGTTACACACGTATTCTGAGATTTTACTGGCGATTTTCAAAAAATCTTCACTACTGAAAATCGCCAAGCAGTGGGCTAAAGCACATTTTCACCAAAATAACATATGGAACTTCTAATTTTAAAACGCTACCGGATATGTCATCAAAATCCTGATGAAAGTTTCAGCAGTAGCCAAGCACAATCAAAGTATTACTGTCTTTTGCAGTAAATCACAAATAAATAAATACAATATTTCATCATGAGTCCAAAGACAAATTTTTACTAACGGTTTAATTAGTTGGTATGATTTTAATAAATGCTATGTTGAAATTCTAGGAAATGTTAGGAGCATATAATGAAAAACATACTTCCCATCCTCATCTACAGCAGCAGGCGCATTTCCAGCTTTTCTTGCTTCTTCTAATTCTTTAGCTTTACGCCAATCTTCCCTACTTCGCTTTTTTGGTTCTTCAACATCACGATTTTTTATGATTTCAGACACAGGTCTACTGACTGCGTTCATATTTCAGCTTAATTCAACCAGTTTCACAACACAAAGAAATTTCTTTGCGATGTGTTGCCAAATTAAACAAGCTAACTATAAATTGAAAGATGATTTCTCTGTGATTCTTTTATAAAATATTGAAATTTCTTCTTTAATTCACGTATTAAAATACATAATAATTAATATTTTAATGAAATATCTTGTTTTGAAAAATTATAACTTTAAAATGAATCTTCTGATATATCAAAATATACTTATTAAACAGAAAGAAAAACAGATGGAGAAAACCTGGCAACCCGGAAACCCGTATAACGAGTTTCGAAAGTGTTCGCAATAGTAGTGCAATAATATCAACACTTGTTGATCGCTTGGTTTTCTTTGTATATTGTAAATTATATAATGTTACCCAATCAAATTAATAACATAATAATAAACACGGGCAATTTAATTAACTGCAAGGAATTCAAGAAAAAGGCAACACAGTCGCCAACTGAAGAGGTTTGTAATTTTTCAGCGACTTTTTTAAAAATAAAAATAAGCTATTTTACTAATTAAATAATACTGGTAGCTCCCAGAAATAATACGGTAGTTTATGACTAATATAATAAATAACATAAAACTCTAGAAAATATCAGTATCTTAAAACGTAGTTTTTAAATAATATTAGTGTGATTAAACCTAAGCTTTTTACATTTTTAGAAACCCGCAGCAGGGGAAAAAAAGTTGCTAGGTATAAAAAGACCTTGAAAAAGTGCTGGAACACGTCCATATGTTTACCGAACAATCCATGATAACCATATGTTTATAACGTTTTGATGTACAAAACAGTAATGGCTAAATATTTTTTTTATTGTTTATTTATTAAGTAGTTGACTGTTAAAATAAAATAGACTAAATGAACTGTGTTTCTGTAAATAAGGCTAATTGTATAAAATAAACGCGGAAAATTGAAAAACTGATAATATATATATTAAAAATTGTTAAATCTATTAAAAATATATCTCTAGTCTTTTAAATGTAAAATGTTTATAACATTGTAACTATGCTTTGGAAAAAGATATAGTATAAACGAGGTGATATGTATATACATAAAACTGTAAATATAGATCTGATTTATTTTGAAAGAAATTAAGAAACATTTAACCCCATGAGTGGCCAAATTTCTACAATCGCTAGATGCTAGTAAGTCAACTCAGGTTCATTCCCAGGCGAATGGGCTAGCTGTATGATTTTTGTGATTTTTACCATGTGTAATGTGACTACGAGTCAGTTTCCTTTAGAAAATCCTCCATGAAGACACCCTTAGGCAGATAGCCTTCATGTGCTTTTTCATATTCAACTAACCTAACCTAGAAACATTTAAGACCAGTTTCGGCAAATCATTACTGAAGTGATTTTAAAAAGCAGCATATATAACTAAAAACTGTTGGAAGAATCATAAAATCAGTTTGGTCTTAATAGGTGAAAAAGTAAAATTTAATTTTTATGTCACTGAAAGGAATAGGAAAATTTTGCTGTTACATTCAAACCCTACTCTGATGAATGGATATACAGTACAAAGTCAGAAATTCGGACGTCCATTATCCGGAAGGATCTAAAATCCGGACATCAAAGCCACAAACTTTTTTTTTATATGCTTTACGCATGCGCATTTGATTTTTCCTT